GAGTCCATGANTTTATTTCTCAAAAACTAAAAGTGATTTTTCAAAACGGCTTGTTGCATTAAAAAGAGGATACTTTAATTAATAATTGGTGATATTTCCACAAGGATCCTGCAAGAAATTAATTTTATAGCGAATTTTGAAAATTATCGATGAAAATTGCATCATCCAAAATTTTTTCAAAACTTCAAATATTGTTTTCTCAAAAACTAAAAGTGATTTTTCCAAACGGTTTTTTGCATTAAAAAGAGGATACTTTAATTAATAAGTGGTGATATTTCCAGAAGGATCCATCAAGAAATGAATTTTATAGAAAATTTTGAACATTATCGATGAAAAATGCAACATCGAAACTTCAAATATTGTTTTCTCAAAAACTAAAAGTTATTTTACAAAACCTGTTGGTCCATTGGAAAGAGGACACTTTTATTAACATTTTGGGAAATTTTCGTACTCATATTCCAAGAAGTGGATTTTATACGAATTTTTAAAACTTAATCGTCGAAAATTGCAAAATTCGACCAAATTGCCGATCATTTCAAAAATGTTTTTCTCAAAAACTAAATGTGATTTTTTAAAGCGGCTTTTTGCATTAAAAAGAAGATACTTTAATTAATAATCGAAAGTGATAACAGCGACAGTTAGTAATGAATGTGATAATGAATTACAAGCGAAGAGAAGAAAACTAGACGAAACTGCAACAAGAGATTTTATATATAGTATTGGGATTGTTACAAGGAGGTTGCTAATGATAAATAAAGTTGTATTAAATAAAAAAATCTATTGGGGTTGCACGTGATTATTATCTGCAGTGTCCAACACCTAAAAGAGGTACTAATTCCTATGAATGGTGGAGCACTAAGTATTAGGTTTTTAATAGCAAGAGTCATATTATTCATATTTCTAAAGCATTTTATGGAGTAACTGCTAAATCAATCCGGGAACTCGCCTACGAGTTAGCAGAGACAAATAATTTTGATCTAACAGACGCTCACATCACGCCATTCTTCCATAGTTTATTTGGGCTTCCTCTCGCTCTCTATCTCTGTGGTGTTCATTCTGCAATTCTTTTCACTCCTCTGTCTCCCTCAATCCAGATGTCCAAGCCATGCTATTATTGATGCTTTTATGCGTCGTACTATCACCGCAGCATCCATAATTTGGTCAAATTCGTGGTTCTTTCAAAGACTCTTAACGACAAGCTCGAAGCTTCGCATCCATATTCTTGGTCTTATAATAGTAGTATGATAATTCTTGAGTTTTGATTGATGATTTCGCCAATGATATTTGCTTTGTTTATTGTGTAGTGCAAATATGTGAAGCTTTGTGCTCGTTGAAATGAATAATTTACTATGTTGAAGTGGTCTGGGTTTCTTCTGAGGATTCAGACGCGATCAATAAAAAGTTCTGCTGATTGTTAAGTGGTGATGGTGAAGAACTTACCACTTGCCCATTGCGGATAGACATGAATGTTACATCACAATATTGCCTTGTAGTGAAAAATAAATACACCGTGAATCTCATTAAAGTCTGTTGAGATATTCTCCAGACATAGCAAAAAATATGATTTCTTTCAAGAACTTTGACCATCCATAACTGCCAAACGAGATACTTTTTTAAACCATTCTTAATCTTTTGAACCAAAGAACCTCGTGGGACCATTTTCTGTACTTATTTCGGGACACCTGTATATAAGTATCTCACGTAACTGGTTCGTTAGAACTTTTTTAAGTTCCACTATTCGTACAATTTTGGTAGTAGGCGTTTATCATCAGAAACTTTCGATCTAAAATACTTTTAAGATGGTCGCCACTTCCGGTCTCCAGGAAGTAGATTACGAATAAAGAAATGAAACTTTTTGAGGGTATAAAGGCACCTTTAAAGTTAGGTTATACCAAATTATAAGCTTCCAGTGTGAACAATTCATTTTATATAAATTTTTAAAAATCACATATTGATTTGACGTTTCTTGAAAGTGGGATTAAAGAAAAAAATGGTTTTCTCCGAAATGGTTACTAATAAAGAAATAAAATTTTTTGAGGGTATGAAGGAACCTTTAGACTTGGGATATACCAAATTATAAGCTTCCAGTGTGAACAATTCATTTTATATAAATTTTTAAAAATCACATATCGATTTGATGTTTTTTGAAAGTGGGGTTAAAGAAAAAATTATTTTCTCCGAAACGATTACGAATAAAGAAATGAAACTTTTTGAGGTTATAAAGGAACCTTTAAGGTTAGGTTATACCAAATTATAAGCTTCCGGGGTGAACAATTCGTTTGATATACATTTTTGAAAATCGCATATCGATTTGACGTTTCTTAAAAGTGTGATTAAAGAAAAAAATTTTTTTTTCCAAAACTGTTAAGAATAAAGAAATGAAACTTTTTGAGGTTATAAACGAAACTTTAAGGTTAGGTTATACCAAATTATATGCTCCCGGGGTGAACAATTCGTTTGATATACATTTTTGAAAATCGCATATCGATTTGACGTTTCTTAAAAGTGTGATTAAAGAAAAAAATTATTTTCTCCGAAACGGTTACGGATAAAGAAATGAAACTTTTTGAGGTTATAAATGAACCTTTAAGATTAGGTTATACCAAATTATGTGCTCCCGGGGTGAACAATTCGTTTGATATACATTTTTGAAAATCGCATATCGATTTGACGTTTCTTAAAAGTGGGGTTAAAGAAAAAAATTATTTTCTCTAAACCAGTTAAGAATAAAAAAATGAAACTCTCTGAGATTATAAAGGAACCTTTAAGGTTATGTTATACCAAATTACAAGCTTCCAGTGTGACCAATTCATTTTATATTAATTTTTAAAAATCCCATATCGATTTGACGTTTCTTAAAAGTGGGATTACAGAAAAAAATTAGTTTCTCCGAAACGATTACGAATAAAGAAATGAAACTTTTTGAGGTTATAAAGGACCCTTTAAGGTTAGGTTATACCAAATTATAAGCTTCCGGGGAGAACAATTCGTTTGAAATACATTTTTGAAAATCGCATATCGGTTTGACGTTTTTTAAAAGTGTGATTAAAGAAAAAAATTATTTTCTCCAAAACTGGTAAGAATAAAGAAATGAAACTTTTTGAGATTATAAATAAACCTTTAAGGTTAGGTTATACCAAATTATATGCTTCCGGGGAGAATAATTCGTTTGGTATACATTTTTGAAAACCGCATATACACCTTTTAATTATATGCGAGAAAATATGTTGACTTTGATATAAGTTATTTCGATTTAATTCGATTTTAGTAAAACCTCATTTCTCAACCCACGTTTATTCAAGAAAGCTCTAAATTACCTAAAATATCTTTTGTAACACGACTAATACACACATTTAATTTTGGCAATATCAAAAATACTTGGTCCCTTACCTTCTAAATTCGCAATTTTAGTTTTGTTTACTTTTTTTTCTTCCTAAAATGTTCAAAATGATCTAAGGAACACGATGAGTATACGCAATTCAAATTTGGCGGTAGCAAAAAAAATTACACGATTGTAAAAAGTCATTTCATTAGCGTTAAACTTACGATTTTAATTTTTTTTTATTTTTTTTGTTCTTAAAATGTTTAAAATGATCTAAGGAACACGATGAGCACACCCAATTCAAATTTGGCAGTAGCAAAAAAAATTACGCGGGTGCTAAAAGTCATTTCCTTAGCACTAAATTTGAAATTTTCGTTTCTTGAAAATTTTTTGCTTCTAGAATACGTAAAATATCCTTTGGAACACGACTAATACACACATTTCAATTTTGGCAATATCAAGAATAGTTAGTCTCTTAACTTCTAAATTCGCAATTTTATTTTTTTTGTTTTTTTTGTTCTTAAGATGTTCAAAATGATCTAAGGAACACGATGAGTACGCGCAATTCAAATTTGGCAGTATGAAAAAAAATTACACGGGTGCAAAAAGTCATTTCCTTAGCTTTAAATTTGATTTCATTCTAGAATATGTAAAATATCTTTAGCAACACGATTAATAACAAAAATACTTGGTTTCTGAACTTCTCAACTCGCAATTTTAAACTTTCCCATATTTTTTTAGCCCACCAGAGAGACAATTTCTACAGAATTGGCTATTTATTGTAGTTTGTCTCATATTGAGATATTTATCAAAGCAAATTGCATTATTAATTATTGATTTCCTTTCTTTCTACAGCAGGTTCCGGTTTAACTTTTCTAAAACTTCGATTTGTTGGATTTTGGATATTATTATTTGGGTTGGGTTTGGTATCAATTTATGACTTGAAGGTTGGTATGGGCTTGAGTTGGGTTGCGTTCAACTTTAAATCTGGGGTTTGGATTAGGTTGGTTTTTAAGAAATCATTGTTTGAGTTGGTTTTGAATTAAGTTAGAACGAGATTTTGATCAACTTAGGTTGAGATTAATTTGGAATGATTTTCAAGTATTGAATTGAGTTGTGTCTTTTTTCCGCTTTCCAAATGTTGTCTAAAAAGTTCTGCAACTTATTAGAGATGAAAATCAGACGGTGGCAGATCAATCTCTTTAAATAATTTTTGCTTATCGCACAATTTTGTAATTTTGCCAACAAGTCCAGAAACGCATCTTTTAAAGTTTAATTAACCAAAAATTTGATGATAAGTTCTGCACCTCCCATATTTATATCAAGTTGCAGAAAATTCTGATTTTAGCAACAATGATAGCCAATAAAAGCATGGAATAAAAGTATAAAATTTGCCAAAACTATATTTATTGACTAAGAACGAGTGTTATTATTTAATTAATTATTAATTTAACATTAACAAAGGGAAAAAAGTATTTTGTTGCAAAAATCGGGAAACCAAACTATTTTAATGATTAAAATTTGCAAAATAATCCTTTCAACTCCAAAAAGAAACCAAACAAATCGCTGCTTTGTTAAAATTTGCTACAATTGATTTATTTTATCAATAAATTATTGTTTTATCTAAATTTAAAGATAAAAATAGGTGGTGCAGAAAAAAAATTTAAAAATGACTTACCTGTTGGTTATTCGTGAGACAAAATTTATCGAGGAGGATGATGATGGTTTTAGTTGCGTGGAGAACGAGTCACTGCAAGGCATTTTCGAAACGCGTGCCGAGCTTTTATACCGGAATTCGTCTTCGCAAGCTTGCGCTGGACTTGGGGTGATCCGCCCACCGACCAATGGGACCCCACATTTGGGCCTACGCGCCAATTTCGCTGTGGGTTTTGCCCTATTTTGCAATTCTCGTGCGTGCGTTTGCACATTTCTGTGTGTTTTTTCTTTTATCTCTTCCCTCTTCTTTACTTTTTGACCGCGGCGCGGTGAATTTCTGAGTAAGAGGTGATTGAATTTGCCTCCTTGAAAGAAAGAGGAAAGAAAAAAATAGGTCGGATAGATCCAATTTTGAGGGTGATCTGTTTGAACGATTTAAAACAAAAATAAATTAAATTCATACAATATACAGCGTGTTAATTAATTAAGTAATCGTACAGGACGAGTATGCAACCAATAGCGCAGTATGCGTATTATAACACGCGATTTGCGTATTTGGTTGCATACTTATACATACAGTGTGTCCCAGGATAGATTACCTCTTGATTTCTTAAAAACCAACTTAATCCAAAATCCAGATTTAAAGTTGAACACAACCCAACTCAAGCCCATACCAACCAAGTCATAAATTGATACGGAACCTGCTGTAGAAAGAAAGGAAATCAATAATTAATAATAAAATTTGTTTTGATAAATATCTCAATACGAGACAACTACAATAAACAGGCATAGATATGTTTATAGATGAGATTTGTAGAGAATTCTGTAGAAATTGTCTCTCTGGTGGGCTAAAAATATATTCAAAAATGAAAATTTCAAATTTAAAGCTAAGGAAATGACTGTTTGTACCCGCGTAATTTTCTTTGATACTGCCAAATTTGACTTGCGTGTACTCATCGTGTTCCTTAGATCATTTTGAACATATTAGGAACAAAAAAAAATAAAAAAATTAAAATTGAGAATTTAGAGGTTAAGGAACAAACTATTTTTGATATTGCCAAAATTGAAATGTGTGTATTAGTCGTGCTCCAAAGGATATTTTACATATTCTAGAAGCAAAAAATTTTCAAAAAACGAAAATTTCAAATTTAGTACTAAGGAAATGACATTTTGCAACCGTGTAATTTTTTTTGATACTGCCAAATTTGAATTGCGCGTACTCATCGTGCTCCTTAGATCATTTTGAACATCTTAGGAAGAAAAAAAAATAAAAAAATTAAAGTTGCGAATTTAGAAGTAAACGGGGCAAGTATTTTTGATATTGCCAAAATTGAAATGTGTGTATTAGTCGTGTTCCAAAGGATATTTTACGTGTTCTAGAAGCAAGAAATTTACCAAAAAAAAATTTTAAATCGAAATAACTCGAAAACGAAAAATGCTAGGTACCAATAACTTCTATTAAAGTCTAACCTAACTCAAGCCCATACCAACCTTCAAGTCATAAATTGATACCAAACCCAACCCAAGTAATAATATGCAAAATCCAACAAGTCGAAGTTTTAGAAAAATTAAAACGGAACTTGCTGTAGAAAGAAAGGAGAAAGCCGTTAGCTAAACTGAGTATCTATATCACTAATAAAAAGCAATATTTTAATCAATAATTAATAATAAAATTTGTTTTGATAAATATCTCAATACGAGACAACTACAATAAACAGGCATAGATATGTTTATAGATGAGATTTGTAGAGAATTCTGTAGAAATTGTCTCTCTGGTGGGCTAAAAATATATTCAAAAATGAAAATTTCAAATTTAAAGCTAAGGAAATGACTGTTTGTACCCGCGTAATTTTCTTTGATACTGCCAAATTTGACTTGCGTGTACTCATCGTGTTCCTTAGATCATTTTGAACATATTAGGAACAAAAAAAAATAAAAAAATTAAAATTGAGAATTTAGAGGTTAAGGAACAAACTATTTTTGATATTGCCAAAATTGAAATGTGTGTATTAGTCGTGCTCCAAAGGATATTTTACATATTCTAGAAGCAAAAAATTTTCAAAAAACGAAAATTTCAAATTTAGTACTAAGGAAATGACATTTTGCAACCGTGTAATTTTTTTTGATACTGCCAAATTTGAATTGCGCGTACTCATCGTGCTCCTTAGATCATTTTGAACATCTTAGGAAGAAAAAAAAATAAAAAAATTAAAGTTGCGAATTTAGAAGTAAACGGGGCAAGTATTTTTGATATTGCCAAAATTGAAATGTGTGTATTAGTCGTGTTCCAAAGGATATTTTACGTGTTCTAGAAGCAAGAAATTTACCAAAAAAAAATTTTAAATCGAAATAACTCGAAAACGAAAAATGCTAGGTACCAATAACTTCTATTAAAGTCTAACCTAACTCAAGCCCATACCAACCTTCAAGTCATAAATTGATACCAAACCCAACCCAAGTAATAATATCCAAAATCCAACAAGTCGAAGTTTTAGAAAAATTAAAACGGAACCTGCTGTAGAAAGAAAGGAGAAAGCATTTAGCTAAACTGAGTATCCATATTACTAATAAAAAAGCAATATTTTAATCAATAATTAATAATAAAATTTGTTTTGATAAATATCTCAATACGAGACAAACTACAATAAACAGGCGTAGATATGTTTATAGATGAGATTTGTAGAGAATTCTGAAGAAATTTCTCTCTGGTGGGCTAAAAAAATATGGGGAAGTTTAAAATTGCGAGTTTAGAAGTTCAGGAACCAACTATTTTTGTTATTAGTCGTGTTGCTAACGATATTTTACATATTCCAGAAGCAAAAAATATTCAAAAATGAAAATTTCTAATTTAAAGCTAAAGAAATGACTTTTTGCAACCGTGTAATTTTTTTTTGATACTGCCAAATTTGAATTGCGCGTACTCATCGTGTTCCTTAGATCATTTTGAACATCTTAGGAACAAAAAAAAAATAAAAAAATTAAAGTTGCAAATTTAGAAGTAAACGGGGCAAGTACTTTTGATATTGCCAAAATTGAAATGTGTGTATTAGTCGTGTTCCAAAGGATATTTTATGTATTCTTGAAGAAGAAAATTAAAAAAAAATTAAAATTGCAAATTTAGAGCTAAGGAAATGACTTTTTGCAGTCGTGTAATTTTTTTTTCCTACTGCCAAATTTGAATTGCGCGTACTCATCGTGTTCCTTAGATCATTTTGAACATATTAGGAACAAAAAAAAAATAAAAAAATCAAAGTTGCGAATATAGAAGTAAAGGGGGCAAGTATTTTTGACATTGCCAAAATTGAAATGTGTGTATTAGTCGTGTTCCAAAGGATATTTTATGTATTCTAGAACAAAAAAAAAATAAAAAAATTAAAATTGCAAATTTAGAGTTAAAAAATGACTTTTTGCAGTCGTGTAATTTTTTTTGCTACTGCCAACTTTGAATTGCGTATAATCATTGTGTTCCTTACGTCATTTTTAACATCTTAGGAACAAAAAAAAAATAAAAATTGCGAATTTAGAGGTTGAAATTGAAAAACATTTCGTTTAATAAACAAAAACATGCGATCGATTGATGACAAATTGTAATTATTAAATCTCACGTAATACTTGATTAGAATGGATCATTCATATATCAATCAAATGATTTGCCGTATGGTTGTACAGATAAACAGATATTAAGCTTAGATAAGCCGATTAGATGTTGCATTCGGTTAAACCTAACAATCGTAAAATTTTTATTTGCACGAATTATTTGCACGATCAATAATTCGAATAATCGAATATGTATCGTACTTCAAAGAAGTTTTACTTAAATTGAAATGATGGATGGGGTTTTTTTACAAATATTTAGATTTGAAGAGTACCTATATATGGAAATGATTTTTTTTCTTCCGTACATAGGTAGTATAAGATGTCAGAGGGAGTTTGATGGAACGACTACTTGTTGAACCTCGTCGAAGGGAGGAAACGAGATCGATGCAAATTATACGAGCGATTGAAACATCGCCGATTTCCGGCAGAGAAAACTTTTTACATTCCAATTTCGAGACCACCTCAAATAGTAAACGGGGGCAAATCGCCCACCCTATAAAAGTTTTATGTCTCTGCGTTACCTTACGACGATACGTTTCCTTACGGGCAATTTCCCTGTCTCTAAATTGGCTAATAACAAGAACAATTTTTTATTTTAAATATATCACAATGTATACAGTGTGTCCTAGGATAGATCTTACAAGAGGTAATCTATCCTGGGACACACTGTATGTATAAGCATGCAACCAAATGCGCAAATCGCGTATTATAATACGCATACTGCGATATTGGTTGCATACTCGTCCTGTACGATAATTAATTAACACGCTGTATATTGTAAATAAACTCTAAATTTATAATTTTCATTTTTTGAAAATTTTTTGCTTGTAAAATATATAAAATATCCTTTGTAACACGACTAATGCACACATTTCAATTTTGGCAATGCTAAAAATACTTGGTCCCTTAACTTTTAAATTCGCAATTTTATTTTTTTGTTTTTTTTTTCCTAAAATGTTCAAAATGATCCAAGGAACACGATGAGTATACGCAATTCAAATTTGGCAGTAACAAAAAAAATTACGCAACAGCAAAAAGTCATTTCCTTAGCTCTAAATTAGCAATTTTAATTTTTTTAAATTTTTTTTCTTCTAAAATACATAATATATCCTTTGGAACACGACTAATACACACATTTCAATTTTGGCAATGTCAAAAATACTTGCCTCCTTTACTTCTAAATGCACAACTTTGGTTTTTTTATTTTTTTTGTTCCTAAGATGTTCAAAATGATCTAAAGAACACGATGAGTACGCGCAATTTAAATTTGGCAGTATCAAAAAAAATTACGCGACTGCAAAAAGTCATTTCCTTAGCTCTAAATTTGCAACTTTGATTTTTTTTATTTTTTTTTTTCCTAAGATGTTCAAAATGACCTAAGGAACACGATGAGTATACGCAATTCAAATTTGGCAGTAGCAAAAAAAATTATGCGATCACTAAACTTACAATTTTGTGGCAAATTGTTTGATTATGAATGATCCATTCTAATCAAGTATTACGTGAGATTTAATAATTACAATTTGTCAATCAATCGATCGTATATTTTCATTTATTAAACGAAATGTTTTTCGTTTTTTCAATTTCGACGATAATTCGTCACGCATCTTTCCGGTAAATTGTGCTGCTTTCAATTCGGAACGAATTCTGTTCGAGAGTTTGGGTCGAAGTTTATCCTCTAGAGCTTACTACCTGGAAGTAGGAGGAGAACTTGTGGAAACCGCGCGCGACGTCGATGTTACTACCTAACCATACCTGGAAGAAAATTCTCTTCTACGCCAAAACCGTGGAGAACTTATTAATAAGTTTGGGAAAAATCCCCTGTTCAAGGCGTACCTACTCGGTTACACGCACCGAACTCTATTTAAATTTTCTATTTAAAAGGAAACCTTTAAAGAAATCGTTTTAAAATGTAAAATGATTAAAACTACCTCGATATAACAGATTAATATGATATACATATATAAAAAGGTATGATGAATAATTATTTCCTCCATATACTTTAAAAAAGAAAATAAATTGTAAGGAAGTAAAAATTTTGAGAGATAGTCCTGTGAGTTATGATGTAGTACATAAAAATGTTGTCAAAACAGAACATCATTCTCGGAAATATGTACATGTCAGAAGAATACTGAATGAAGAAAGTGTGGCTTTACCAGTGGATGTAGTATTAAATTTACCAGAAATAGGAGAAGTTGAAACAGAAGCTGCACTTTCAAGTAATTTGCTAAACCGAATGTTGTCCACAGCTCTGTATACCATCCTCAGGCAAATGCAGTAGAGAGATTTCATGGAGTGTTTAAAAGAATACTCAGAGCTTTGAGTTACGAACATGGAACAGAGTGGGACGAGTACATTGATCAAGCATCATACAGCACATGGTTTCAGTCCTTGCGGAGTTATTAATGAAGGCAAATTAGATCTCCACTAAGTATGTTGAAAGACTTATGTAATGGCAGAGATACTAAAGACCAAAAGAAGTTATTTACAAAGAAGTGATGAATGTTCAAAGAAAATATTAAGTAAAATATCAGATACCAACTACGTACTAAAAGAACTAACTGGATAGAAAAAGGAAGAAACTTTACTGCCTACAAAAGTTTTACAACAATCAAACAGAATTTGAGAATTTTCAGAAGAACAAAGCACGTTCGCAATTAGAGAATTTCCTGGGTTATTTTCATGCTCCAGTTCAGACCATAAAAGTATACCATTCTCGTAAAACTACTGAATGTAGAGTACTAAACCTGGAAGAAAAAGCTAAAGTTAACACTAAACCTAACAAAGTCGAAAGCACCCTTAGACGGGAATTAGGTGAGGCACTACCAGTATATTTAGGAACACAACTGGATAAAAACAAGCTTAACTGGAAGCTTATCTTCAAACTACACTTACCACTTAGATTAAGTAGTAGAGATAACTCGCAAGCTTTCAAAATGCAATGGGAGATTTACAAGTAGGTTTCGGTGGTAAGGTTAGGTTGCAGCTGAAGTTATCAAACTAGGTTAGGCTTTGGGAGATGACGATTAGGCATAAAATTAGGCATAGACCTTAAGTGACCTTGTGATTTCTAGACAAGACATGGAAAGCGAAGCGACGTCTGATTCTGTCACTTCAAATCAACACGAAACGAATTCATATTTTGCCGTTCTCAACGTCATCTCGCTAATATTAAGCGAATAAATAGCCTTATTTAGTAATTTAATAAAAACTTGGGTTGGAATAAAATTGATTTCGATTGATATAGAATTGAATTTCCTTCAAAATGAGTCCAAACTCGACTATTTTATTTTGTTTAGTTCTCGAGATATTCGAATTTTTAAATTTTGGTTATTATCAAAGATGGCGGATTATTACCATTAAATTTTTGATCACAACTTTTTTGTTTTTTAATATAAAAATATCGTATTTGGTATGAAATTAAAGAAAAAATTTAAAATTTTATCGATCTATGATAAATTTGATAATTAATTATGCAGTGAAAAGGTGATAATAATAATAATAAATCAAGTAATCTTAATTAAAAATGTCTGAATTCGATTTTAAATTAAAATCAATTTCGTTTTAATTTGTAATGATTCAAATAAACAATTTCTTTCATTTTGGGTTTTTGATAAAAAGATAATAAAAATAATAAAAACTTGGGTTGGGATAAAATTTATTTTGTTTGATATAGAATTGAATTTCCTTCAAAACGAGTCCAAACTCGGCTATTTTATTTTGTTTAGTTCTCGAGATATTCCAATTTTCATGTTTGGTTATTATCAAAGATGGCGGATTATTACTATTCATTCCTTTATCATAACTTTTTTGCTTTTTATTATAAATATATCGTATTTAGTACGAAATTAAAGGAAATTTAAGATCCTATCGGTCCATAGTAAATCTGATAGTTAATTTTGAAGTAAAGAGGTAATAATAATAATAAATCAAGTGATTTAATTAAAAATTTTTAAATTAGATTTTAAATTAAAATCAATTTCGTTTTAATTTGTAATGATTCAAATAAATAATTTCTTGTATTTTGGTGTTTTGAGAAAAAGATAATAAAAAATAATAAAAACTTGGGTTGGGATAAAATTTGTTTCGATTGATAAAGAATTGATTTTCCTTCAAAATGAGTCCAAACTCAATTATTTTGTTTTGTTTAGTTCTCGAGATATTCGGATTTTAATGTTTAGTTATTATCAAAGATGGCGGATTATTACCATTCATTCTTTTTTCATAACTTTTTTGCTTTTTAATATAAATATATCGTGTTTGGTATCAAATTAAGTGAAATTTAAAATCTTATCGATCTCTTTTATTTTGAGTTTTTGAGAAAAAGGTAATAAAAACTTCGGTTGGGCTAAAATTTATTTTGATTGATATAGAATTGATTTTGCTTCAAAATGAGACCAAACTCGACTATTTTATTATGTTTAGTTCTCGAGATATTCGACCTTCAAATTTTGATTATTATTAAAGATGGCGGATTATTAACATTAATTTTTTTATCACAACTTTTTTGCTTTTTAATATAAATATATCGTGTTTGGTACCAAATTATAGGAAATTTAAAATCCTATCGATCTATGATAAATTTGATAATTAATTATGAAGTAAAGAGGTAATAATAATAATAAATTAAGTGATTTTAATTAAAAATTTTTGAATTCGATTTTAAATTAAAATCAATTTCGTTTTGGTTTGTAATGATTCAAATAAACAATTTCTTTCATTTTTGGTTTTTGATAAAAAGGTAATAAAAAATAATAAAAACTTGGGTTGGGATAAAATTAGTTTTGGTTGATATAGAATTGAATTTCCTTTAAAATGAATCCAAACTCGACTATTTTGTTTTGTTTAGTTCTCGAGATATTCGAATTTTAAAGTTTGGTTATTATCAAAGATGGCGGATTATTACCATTAATTTTTTTATCACAACTTTGTTGTTTTTTAATATAAATATATCGTATTTGGTATCAAATTAAAGAAAAAATTTAAAATCTTATCGATCTATGATAAATTTGATAATTAATTATGCAGTAAAAAGGTGATAATAATAATAATAAATCAAGTAATCTTAATTAAAAATGTCTGAATTCGATTTTAAATTAAAATCAATTTTGTTTTAGTTTGTAATGATTCAAATAAACAATTTCTTTCATTTTGGGTTTTTGATAAAAAGGTAATAAAAAATAATAAAAACTTGGGTTGGGATAAAATGTATTTTGTTTGATATAGAATTGAATTTCCTTTAAAATGAGTCCAAACTCGACTATTTCATTTTCTATAGTTCTCGAGATATTGGAAATTTAAAATTTGGTTATTATCAAAGATGGCGGATTATTACCATTAATTTTTTGATCACAACTTTTTTGTTTTTTAATATAAATATATCGTGTTTGGTACCAAATTAAAGGAAATTTAAAATCCTATCGATCTATGATAAATTTGATAATTAATTATGAAGTAAAGAGGTAATAATAATAATAAATCAAGTAATTTTAATTAAAAATTGTTGAATTCTATTTTAAATTAAAATCAATTTCGTTTTAATTTGTAATGATTTAAATATTTTCGTTTTTTGAAAAAAGATAATAAAATATAATAAAAACTTAGGTTGGGAGAAAATTTAAAAGATTTTATTTTGTTTGATATAGAATTGAATTTCATTCAAAATGAGTCCAAACTCGACTATCTTATTTTGTTTAGTTCTCGAGATATTCGAATTTTAAAATTTGGTTATTATCAAAGATGGCGGTTTATTACCATTAATTTTTTGATCATAACTTTTCTGTTTTTAAATATAAATATATCGTGTTTGGTACCAAATTAAAGGAAATTTAAAATCCTATCGATCTATATAAATTAATTATCGTAGATAAGATGCAGTAAAGAGGTAATAATAATAATAAATTAAGTGATTTGAATTAAAAATTTTTGAATTCGATTTAAATTAAAATTTTCAATAATTCATTCAATAATTGAATAATTTCTTGTATTTTGGGGTTTTGAGAAAAAGATAATAAAAATTTGGGTTGGGATAAAATTTATTTTGTTTAATATAGAATTGAATTTCCTCCAAAATGAATTCAAACTCGAATACTTTACCCTGTTTAATCCTCGAAATATTTGAATTTTAATGTATGGTTATTACCAAAGATGGCGGATTATTACCACTAATTTTTTGATCATAACTTTTTTGTTTTTTAATATAAATATATAGTGTTTGGTATCAAATTAAAGGAAATTTAAAATCCTATCGATATAAAATAATTTCGCTTTAATTTGTTTTGAATCATTACAATTTTTGTTTTATTCTGACCTAACGAGATTCATTATATCGAGATTTTACTGTATTACAATAAAAAAATAAATCTAATTAACAAATTCTAATCAGGGTGAAATTCAAAACGTTCCCTAACAATAATAATTTATTCAATTAACGTTCTGAATAGAAGTGTAGGTGTAATTAATGATTGGAATTCGTTGATTTTTTTTGATTCCAAGTTGGAAATTTGGGGTATTTAAATCGGGTGGGTTTGTTTTCCGGTTGACGGGACGCCGGATTGCGATTAAAGCGCCTGTTGCGGGTACCAATTGAGTCGGGAGACTCGGACGCCGCGGCGCCACGTGCGGCCGAATTTTCAATCAACGACCGGACTTCCTGCGATGTTACGCCGCCGACGTTAAACAATTTTCAAAGCTAAAATCGCCGTCATTTACCGCAATTACGATTAAATTTATCTAAACCCATTTTCTTCGAGAACGTTGAACTTTTCTTACGAGACGAAAAAATTAATGTCATTATAAAAAAAAATAAGAACAAATAAATAAAATGGTTCTTGAAACTATTTACAATTGGGTTGAATAATTTAAGCTTAAAGTATAAACTTCGATGTTGGTTTAGTTAATTACCGTTCTACGATGCACAGCTCCTCTTCGTCTCTCCCTCTCTCTTTATTTTCTGGGCTTCTGTTCCATGTCCTATGTTCTATGGCCGTTTTAATAGGTACAGAGTGTTTAATTAAGCTTATTCTGTGTCTCTTGTTTGTAATCTACATTGTATTTAGTTCCAATTTGATCCGGAACATCTAAAAATATTAGAAAATTGATTAGAAAGGTGTAAATATCTAAAGATTAGCGTTTAGATTTTACTAATATATACATGATTGATACAACAGATGATTAAATTGATGTAAAGATAGATACGGGGTTTAAGTACGCTATAATGAGAATTAATCAGACAGCCATATGTCCAATTAAAATTCCATCACAGTAGAAAATAGGAATTTCAGGCAGAAAACCCATAGGTATTATAGAAAATACGATACGGATATTCACGCATACGGTGGTTGATAAATATTTGTGAACAAGATAAAACTGTAATTATAGCGCTATTTGTTGTGGATCGCGTTCGTTCACAGGAAATAAATTGCGCACATCCCAGATGGACACTTTTGTTTCGTTTACAAATTTTTCAAAAAACTTTTGCAATTTTTTATTTTTTCTTTCAATTTATTTTCGGCGTAAAAGGAATAAAAAAAACCCAAATCGAGAGACGAATAAATAATGCATATGGAATAGCGTTGTATGTTTGAGGCTCGTTTTTGCTAAGAGCCCTTCCAATCCTTCCACACATCGCCGAAATACCAACCTTTCAGCTCTCCAACACGTCTCAAAGTTCGATTTATACATATTTAATGAGAAGACTCGAGTAAAATACTTAAAGAAACGATTTTTTTTTAGTGTGGGTCAACTTTGTATTCCGTTTTAAGTATAGTATGGATTTTTCCGCAAGACTTATCAAAGGGAGATGCCGAAAACGCGTTAAGTCCGTCGTACTTTACGATTAATATTCGCGGAAATTTCGCCGTGGGCGGAATGTTTATTCGAGAACGCATCCAAAAAGACTGGATTTGCTTCCGAATTAACTCTGAACATGATTTATATTATGCACACAAGATGCTTTAGGGTATATTTGAGTAATAAGAGGAACTTTATAACAGTTTCTTTGTTTAATAGGTTGTTGTATTTATTTTTTTTATAACAATAATTATTACTGATTCTATCACAAAATGTTTCAAATAAAACTTGTTTAAAATACGATTTCAAAACGATAATTTTAATAAAAAATTTTGATATGGTTACTGTGGTGCTGTATATTGACATAAAACGTATCTTTTTGAGGTTATCTCAATAATTATTGTTTGAATCAAAAAATTTTTCAAACAAATCTTATTTAGAATCGAGCCAGTAACAACTTTCATTAAAACATTTTTTCGGATAATCGAAATTATAGAATCTTAGATTTCCCTGTGAATAGTACGGTGAAAAAAAAATTCAATTTTATCAAAAATTGTTTCAGATAAAATTTGTTTAGAATATGATTTATTATCGATTATTTTAATAAAAAATGTTGATATGGTTACTAGATGGCGTTCTATACCGATATATATTATATATATAACATTTTTTTGAGGTTATCTTAATAATTATTGTTTGAATCAAAAAAATTTTCGAACAAATCTTATCTAGAATTAAGCCAGTAACAACTTTCATTAAAACTTTTTTTTCGAATAATCGAAATTATAAGATCTTAAATTTCCCTGTGAATAGTACGATAAAAAAAATTCAATTTTATTAAAAATTGTTTCAGATAAAATTTGTTTAGAATATGATTTATAATCGATTATTTTAATAAAAAATTTTGATATGGTTACTAGATGGCGCTGTATACCGATATATATCATATATATAACATTTTTTTGAGGTTATCTTAATAATTATTGTTTGAATCAAAAAATTTTTCAAACAAATCTTATTTAGAATCGAGCCAGTAACAACTTTCATTAAAACATTTTTTTCGAATAATCGAAATTATAGAATCTTAAATTTCCCTGTGAATAGTACGATGAAAAAAAATCAATTTTATTAAAAATTGTTTCAGTTAAAATTTGTTTAGAATATGATTTATAATCGATTATTTTAATAAAAAAATTTCATATGGTTACTAGATAACGCTGTATACCGATATATACCATATATATAACATTTTTTTGAGATTGTCTTAATAATTATTGTTTGAATCAAAAAATTTTTCAAACAAATCTTATTTAGAATCGAGCCTGTAACAACTTTGATTAAAACATTTTTGTGGAATAATCGAAATTATAGAATTTCAGATTTCCCTGTGAATAGTATGGTTAACAAAAATTCAATTTGATCAAAAATAGTTTCAGATAAAATTTGTTTAGAATATGATTTATAATCGATTATTTTAATAAAAAATTTTGATATGGTTACTAGATGGCGCTCTATACCGATATATATTATATATATATATAACATTTTTTTGAGGTTATCTTAATAATTATTGTTTGAATCAAAAAATTTTTCGAACAAATCTTATCTAGAATTAAGCCAGTAACAACTTTCGTTAAAACTTTTTTTTCGAATAATCGAAATTATAGGATCTTAAATTTCCCTGTGAATAGTACGATAAAAAAAATTCAATTTTATTAAAAATTGTTTCAGATAAAATTTGTTTAGAATATGATTTATAATCGATTATTTTAATTAAAAAAATTGATATGGTTACTAGATGGCGCTGTATACCGATATATATCATATATATAACATTTTTTTGAGGTTATCTTAATAATTATTGTTTGAATCAAAAAATTTTTCAATCAAATCTTATTTAGAATCGAGCTGGTAACAACTTTGATTAAAACATTTTTTTCGAATAATCGAAATTATAGAATCTTAAATTTCCCTGTGAATAGTACGATGAAAAAAAATCAATTTTATTAAAAATTGTTTCAGATAAAATTTGTTTAGAATATGATTTATAACCAATTATTTTAATAAAAAAATTTCATATGGTTACTCGATGGCGCTGTATACCGATATATATCATATATATAACATTTTTTGAGGTTATCTTAATAATTATTGTTTGAATCAAAAAAATTTTCAAACAAATCTTATTTAGAATCAAGCCTGAAACAACTTTGATTAAAACATTTTTTTCGAATAATCGAAAGTATAGAATTTCAGATTTCCCTGTGAATAGTACGGTGAAAAAAAATTCAATTTTATCAAAAATTGTTTCAGATAAAATTTGTTTAGAATATGATTTATAATCGATTATTTTAATAAAAAATTTTGATATGGTTACTAGATGACGCTGTATACCGATATATATCATATATACAGGGTGAGTTATTAGTATCCCGTCGTACGATAGTTGCTAGATGTTTAACATGTGCATTATATGGCAAAACAATTGCATATTTTATTACGTACATCTTTTTAAATCTCATAAAGTACCAAGTCCCATTAAAATTTGATATACAGGCTGATTCAAAAAACCGCTGACAGACTTCTAGAGTAGATAATACATGAAAAATTAAGATGAATAGTCTTAATATACATGGGGTCGCAAATGCCTCGTTGGCGAGATACAGCGGATCAAAGTTTCTTTAAAATTAAACATCTGCAATGCAAAGCACTTTTTTAAAAATATTATCTACCCTAGCCATTTGAAAAACATCAAAAGTAACTAAGCTTTATAAACATCCTGTATAGTGTACCTAATATCTTTGAATACTATCATCTACCCACTGGCTTTGACTATTGTCTGACGTAGTTTCAAGGGAAAGTCGGAAAAAATGTTTTTACATCGTTTTTAAAAAGATTCTATAATGGGCATATTTTGGAAGTAGAATTGAATATCTCAGGAACTATGAATTCTGTGAAATAGTAACATATCCGGTTGTATAAACAAATTTAGTTGTATTCATAATATGAAAAAAATCCGTAAATCTCCGTTACGCGTAAATGGAACATCTATATAAGTGAAAATAATTTTACGTAATAAAATGTGGCGAGTCAAACAACTTTTGTATAAAATATTTTTCGTTTTTGAAACGGTTTAGTAACCATCAACCGCCGAGATACTAATAACTCACCCTGTATAACTTTCTAATGATTTTTCGTTCGTCTCTCAAGACGGCTAAACCCAAATGTTTCTAATTCTAGATCAAATGTTAGTTCTAGTTTTAGTTTAATAACAACATACAATGTAGCGCTATCTAGTGCTTAGTAGTGTTCGGGTTTAGCCGTCTTGAGAGACGTGCGGCTAAACCCTAATGCTTTTAGTTCTAGGTCTAGTGTTAGTTCTAGTTTTATTTGTTATTCCACGCCAGATTGTTGTGTATTTTTATTGAACTGACACTAGACTTAGAACTAGAAACATTCCTGTTTAGCCGTCTTGAGAGACGTACGAAAAATCATATGATAATTCTGGATATTTTTAAAAATCTTATGGCAATCTTTACGAGTATAACCGTCTAGAAAGCATTTAAACGCTATTTGATAATTAAAGAGACCATTAGAAAGCTTCTGGACACTTTTGGACATCTTTTAAGTCGTTCTAAATAGTTCTAGTAATAGTGAGCACTAGATAGCGCTAGATTGTATATTTATACAGAGGTTTCTGTAAGTCGTGGCATAATTTTAATCACAAATACTAGAGTTAAAATGATGACGATTCGTACATATATAAATATAAATACTTAAATGGACCTTCAATGAGATCAATGCTATACTGGTGTTCACAAAGATTATTACGTTTTGATTATGTCGTAAATCCTTAAAATTTCCAACTGATTCTAAAAGCCTATTTCATTTTAAAATTATTTTCACTCTTAGACATTTTTGATTAGACGCATCGTTTAGGAATTATTCATAAAAAGATACCACCTCGTCCATGCGCCCATGAAAATAAATCGTAAGTAAAGCAATACGTTCAATTAATGGTCAGCAATAAAAAGTATTTTTGCTAAACACGCAGATTCCATCATCTCACCATTGCGTTAGCATTTCCTAAACACTCTCCCAACGTTACAAGCATGTCAGTTCTCATT